TGCGGGCAGGGGACTGGACTCGATGACCTCTCGAGGTCCCTTCCAGTCCTATAATCTATGATTCTATGAAAACAGATGATATCTCAAAGGCCCATCTTATTGTCTGTCGCGAGCCACCTGGGGTTGTGAACCAGTGCTTGAGAAACAACAGACTAGATCATTCATTCTCTTATATCCCTATTGGCTGTGAATGGGTATTACTGTGTATGTGGACCTACTGTGAATGAGCAGTTTGCTGCTATACAAAATATGGACTGAGTCAAAGGACAGTGAATTCCCATAAAACCCCCATTTAAAAAAATCTTTTCCTTACTTTAGAATCCCAGCGGCTTGCGCCTGTGCCCAGTGACCCTTTCCCTGCTGTGTCTGTGTCACAGCCAGAGAGACTGAAACCCAACCAGGGGTTAGCAGAGATGAGCATGAAGCACAAAGATTGGATCCAAAATTTCACACTTGTAGGATAGTGAAGGCCTCCATGAATAGACAGTAACCAAGTCGCCCCGCCAGAGGGAGGGGAGAGAGAAACTCAGGAGAAGTAAGTGGGGAGAGAGGCCACAAGCACCCAGACCTGCTCAGATCCAGTTCCTGTCTCAGCACTGGACAGATTTTGTCCAGTCGCTGCCTCTGCCGGGGGAATGTGCTGCCCTCGGGGACCAAGTCAGGTGTTAAAGGCGTCTCAGTGGATTTAGCCCTGGTGGGAAGGGTCGGGTCTGCGCTGCAATAAACTGACTGAGTGTTTTGCCCGTAGGAGAGCCTAGAACATTTCTCTGCAGGGAAAGAGCCTGGGGGATGTGCTGTGAAATTATCTAAAGCCGGTTCTGAAATCTCTCCAATCCCCCTTCTCACCCTGGCAGGCTGCAGAACAGCATCCACGTTCCACTCCAGATGGGCCCAGCCTCCCAGGGGACGGGGAAGGGAAATGGCTGCCGTGGAGCTGGCTCAGGTAGGGATTATGGGAGTTGCTCATGAGGACTGTGAGGGGCAGTAAACACGTAGGAGATGGGAACAACAAGGAGTCTGGTGACACCTTAAAGACTAACAGATTTATTTGGGCATAAGCTTTCGTGGGTAAAAAAACCTCACTTCCTCAGATGCATCCACAAAAGCTTATGCCCAAATAAATCTGTTAGTCTTTAAGGTGCCACTGGACTCCTTGTTGTTTTTGTGGATACAGACTAACACGGCTACCCCCTGATATAGGAGATGGGAGCTTCTGGGGAGTTTAGTTTGAGGTGGGAAGGGGCAGGAGAGAAAAGGAGGAGGACAGGCTGTGACAAACCCGCTGGGACTTGTTTAACCTGAGGCTCACATTCTAGGAACAGACCTATGGGGGTTGAGGGAGGAAATTGGCCTATTTATGGAACAGGAGACACCCACCTGGACAGGGCTGGGGAAATTATCAGCCTGCCGGTGCTGAAGCTGGAACCTACTAACCAGTGCCCCCGATGAGATATGAAGGGGGCACCCACCAGTGGGGCTTAGGGCATATGCCCCATCCCCTCACATCCAGCTGCTGGCAATGAGGAGGGTATTTGGATTCCCGCCAGAGGGCTCCATCTCCTATATCGGCCTCTGGCTAGTAGGTGTGTCAGGCATGAGAATATTCTGCTCCCCTTTATTTGCTGTGAGGGATGAGGGACTCTTTCTCCCCTCACCCTGATGCTTCCTGAGTGGGGTGCGGGTGGGACTCTGCTGACTGCCTCCCAGAGCTTCCATTTGATTGGCCCTGCTTCCCCATGACCAGTTGGTTGTGACTGGGGTAGCAGGCGCTGAGTGGGGGACTCTTGTTTTTCCAGGGGCTGGTGACCTTTGAGGAGGTGGCTGTGTATTTCACCAGGGAAGAGTGGGCTCTGCTGGACCCTGCTCAGAGAGACCTCTACTGGGATGTCATGCAAGAGAACTATGAGAAGGTGACCACGCTGGGTAAGGATTTCTGTCCCTTGGTTATTAGAAGGGGAGACGTCATCTCCATAATTCAACCTTAACTCTGCCCTGTTTCAGCAACACCCTGAAATGCCAGTGACACACACACTAGCTCTCGACCCTCTGCTGCTCGAGAACACTTTGGGAGCAGAGCTCAGGAGCTGTAAAGCACAAAGTCTAACATCTGTACGATAAGGCAAAACTCAGGTGTAGGTTTGGCATAAAGAACAGAAGCTGCCTACACCTCTGGCCGACCCTCAAACCCTGAGCCCACTCCCCTCAAACCACCTCCAACTTGCAAAATATTTCCACCCCTTTAGCCCCCGCCCCTGAGGATATAGCCTTCACGTACCCCTAACTGAGCCCTGGAGACAACCGGCATGTATGCCCCAGAGTGCTGACAGTCCTCATGGCAAGAACACACCCTTGCGCACGTTTGCTGACACAGCCTGCAACACAGCACTGACATGAGGCAAACTTGATCCTTCAAGGTTCACATGCACCTCTCTTCATATCACAGTCACAGCTCTGCAAAGTTGCTCCAACTAATTCCTCCACCATCCAATTACAGCTACAGCTGACACAGCGCACGCAGTTGCAGTGCGTGCAGATCAGTGCTGGTATTCCAGTCTGTGGAACACAACCCAAACAATGGCATGTTCTTTTAGTCCTTGCTCGGAGCTATTATAGATTCATAAATTAAAAGGCCAGAAGTTAGGTCATGTGATCAGACCTCCTGTACTGGCCACAGCATGTCCCCTAGAGGCAACTAAATACTGTGATAGCTGGAAAACATAATCCCAACTATACATATACAATGATGGGGTCTAAATTAGTTGTTACCACTCAAGAAAGAGACCTGGGAGTCATTGTGGATCATTCTCTGAAAACATCCACTCAGTGTGCAGTGGCAGTCAAAAAAGCAAACAATGTTGGGAATCATTAAGAAAGGGATAGATAATAAGTCAGAAAATATCATATTGCCTCTATATAAATCCATGGTACGCCCACACCTTGAATACTGCCTGCAGATGTGGTCGCCCCATCTCAAAAAAGATATATTGGAATTGGAAAAGGTTCAGAAAAGGGCAACAAAAATGATTAGGGGTATGGAACAGCTTCCGTATGAGGAGAGATTAATAAGACTGGGACTTTTCAGCTTGGAAAAGAGACGACTAAGGGGGGATATGATTGAGGTCTATAAAATCATGACTGGTGTGGAGAAAGTAAATAAGGAAGTGTTATTTACTCCTCATAACACAAGAAGCAGGGGCCACCAAATGAAATTAATAAATAGCAGGTTTAAAACAAACAAAAGGAAGTATGTTTTCACACAATGCACAGTCCAAAGTATGGAACTCTTTGCCAGAGGATGTTGTGAAGGCCAAGACTAGAACAAGGTTCAAAAAAGAATTAGATAAATTCACGGAGGATAGGTCCATCAATGGCTATTAGCCAGGATGGGCAGAGATGATGTCCCTAGCCTCTGTTTGCCAGAAGCTGGGAATGGGCAATGGGATGGATCAGTTGATGATTCCCTGTTCTGTTCATTCCCTCTGGGGCACCTGGCATTGGCCGCTGTCGGAAGACAGGACACTGGGCTAGATGGACCTTTGGTCTGACCCAGTATGGCCGTTCTTATGTTCTTACGACAAGAAGCTCTCTGTGGTTAAGAGTCTGCATGGAGGCCATGTACTAGCTGAGATAAATGCCAAGTGACTGAGATCAGTCAGGGGACACATAAAAGGACAGTTTCAGCCTAGGTGTGTGCATAATGTTGTAAGAATAAGGGGATTTTGTAAAAAGGTTCTTTTTTGGGGTCGGGGTGGGGGGGATTGGGCGGGATCTCAGGAACTCTTTGCTCAAATAACACCAAATTTAAACCACTATCCATGCCCTGCATACCCATAGCAAATGTCAAAGCAGTCCGAGCACGCACATGGATTTCAGAGCAGTTAGATTAGTCAACTTCTAAATAGTTTTTAATGTGAGAGTCAGCTGGGCCATTCCACTCATAGAAGACAGTGTGAGGTTCCTATTCTTGGGAGAAGGGAGAGCAGGGAGCAGTGAAGGGGATAAGTTGATGGGGTGGTGGTGGCACTGCAGTACCACACAGCGGGGGGGCTGAGGGCAGTGGGAGGAAGGGGAGTGGGTGTCCTACTGAATGACAGAGCTAGCTATACCTCTGTCCCCTTCCCAATATCTCTAAATGCCCCCTCGCAGCAAGTTGTCAGCCTCATGCCTTTCCATCTCGTGGAGTGGATTTCTGCAATTCTCCCTCTCCTTGCCCAGGCCCTGGGCTACCATACCTGGCACACCAGTTGTGCTTACCCCATAGATCAGGCTGAGTGCAGACATCTTTGGGAGCCTGAGATCAGTGGTGCACAGTGACAAATGCTCCTTTAGTGTGCAGAAGGCTGTTTTATTTTGCAGTAGGAACTAGCTGAGGTAACCTCAGCACCATTAGCAAGTATCGTTGAGAACTCATGGAGGACAGGTGAGGTCTCAGAGGACTGTGAAGGGCAAACATTGTTCCCCTTGTTAAAGATACCTAAAGAGGCTGTGTCTACACTGCACTTTGGGCAGTAAAACTTTTGTCGGTCAGGTGTGTGGAAAAAAACACCCCCTAACCGAACAAAGATTTAGCGACGAAAAGCACTGGGGTGGACAGCACTATGTCTGTGAGAGATGCTCTCCTGCCGACAAAGCTGCTGCCACTTGTTGAGGTTGGTTTTATTTTGCCAGCAGGAGAGCGCTCTCCTGCTGGCAAAAAGCGGCTACCCACGAGACCTTACAGCAGCACAGCCGGTTGAAAGATCATACTCAATCTCAATCTGCAGCAAGGGCGATTTAGGTTTGCCGTTAGGGAAATCTTGTAACTACAAGGGTAGTTCAGCTCTGAAACAAGATTCCAAGGGAGATTGTGGAATCCATCATTGGAAGCTTTTCAGAACAGCTTAGACCAGTGGTTCTCAACCATTGTGGGCCGCATGTTATGTGGGCTGCATCCACACAATATGTGTACTGCCTCTGTGGCCCTGAGGATGTCACATGGGCTGCAGCTGTGTGCTGATTGGGCCACAAGTGACCCGGGAACTGCAGGTTGAGAACCACTGCCTTAAACGAATACCTATCAGAGATAGTCGAGGTGTACTTGGTCCTGCCTCAGTGCCTGGGCTGGATTAAATGACCTCTTGAAGTCCCTTTCCGCCCTGCGTTTCTGTGGTTCTGTCACTTTATAACCTTCACCAGACACTGGGGGATTTTCATACTCCTTTCCATTACCCCGACTTACTATAGTCCCTAATTCCTCAGCAAGTGCTTTCCTGATATCCAACACCCCTGACATACTGCCCTCAGTGATGTCCCCTTAACTGTGCTGAGCTCCGCCAGCCCCCATTTCCCTGTGACTGTCTCATTATCCTTGGGTCTCTGTCGGTAGGAAGCAGTTCCAAGGTGATTTCCCCTTGGCTTTCCGTGATGTGGAGTTACTTTCCCTGGCTTTTAGGAGCCCCTTTGAGCAGGAATGTCTGGCTGTGCGCCAGCAGAGTGGTGGAGAGTTAATCCCCTTATAGGCAGAGTGTCTGGCATCTTACTCAGGGAGCTAACCCCAGAATTTCAGTGCTTTAAAATGAGCAGGGGTTAAAAAAAGGCCATGCTCTTTGTGACACATGTCCCATGAATTCATCTGATGTCACGTGTTTTCCTTCATCTGAGCAGGGTTACCAGTTTCCAAGCCTGAGGTGATGTCCCAGCTGGAACGAGGGGAAGAGCTGTGGGTCTCAGATCTCCAAAGCTCTGAGGAAAGAGAGATCCTGAGAGGAACCTGCACAGGTGAGGGGTCATTAGAGCAACTCAGATACTGTCTGTGCCTGAAGAAAATATCTGGGATTTCCTACCAAGCCCTTGAGAGCTCACTGAGCTCCGGATTGTCCCCAGCAGGTGTCATCTCCTCAGGGCAGATATCGCTCATGGCTTCCTTCCCATCCTGAGCGACTCCTGGCAATAGCTCCCTTCCTAACCTCCCTTCATCCTGAGTGATGGGATGGGATGTGGAGACAGAATTGATCCCCTCCTCTTTCCCCTCTAGGGAAGAGTTTGGGGAAATTCCTCTCCCCGTTTTTGTTCCTGTTTCTGAGGTTTCTCTCTGTGTCGCAGGAGATGGCGGGATGGTGAGTGAGAACGGGGAGCAGAATCCGCAGCAGGAAGAGACTGAGCATGTGGAACCGCACTGGGAAGTATCACAAAGAACGAAGGGGGACATGTCCAGGAGCCCTGAGGAGGGGCAGCAGGGAAACCAGCCAGGGGAGAAAATGGGCAAATCCATCAATTGTGAGGAAAATCACAAGGACCTCCAGGAAACCACAGCCCAGCAGAGAATCCTCATGGGAGAGAGGAAACACGTATGCCCTGAGTGTGGAAGAAACTTCAGTAGACGCTCACACCTTATTCACCATGAGCGAATCCACACAGGAGAGAGACCCTATGAATGCTGTGAGTGTGGGAAAAACTTCACTCGGCGCTCAGACCTTATTAGACACCAGAAAACCCACACAGACGAGAGCCCCTATGAATGCTGTGAGTGTGGGAAAGCCTTCATTTACTGCTCAGACCTGAGGAGACATCAGAGGATCCACAGGAGACAGAGACCCTATGAATGCTGTGAGTGCGGGAAAAGCTTCCATCAGGGGTCACACCTTATTTATCGTCCGAGAATCCACCAGGGAGATAAACACCATAAAATCCTTGTCTAGGGCTGGCAAAACATTCATTTTTCTTTAATATTTTTGGTACTTCCCACACGTGGCCTTTAAGGCTGTTAGTGCCATTTACATCATTGTGGTCTCAGCTCCCCCATGTGAATTGTCCGGTTCTGCTTTTTGCCGCTAGCCCTTCTTTGGGGGGATCCCCAAAGCCCCTTTCTGCCAGCTGCTTCGTTCTATGGGTCGTGGGAGTGGGAGTCCATCTTACTAGGAATGTGCATCAGCCCCAGTGGGGGGAACACGAATGACCTCAGTTAGCTGCATTGTGGTAAAATCTACCTGGGCCTTGGCTCCATTAGCATTTTTTGCAGTTAATTAGCTCGAGGGAACTATCCGGATGGAAAATCCCAACTCTGTTTTCTGCGCTGACATGGCCCAAGTACAATAGTCTGGGTAGCTAGCACTTTTTCCCTCGACCTGTCCTAACCTCCTCCACTTTTCGTAGTCTAGACAAACCATTATCATGATGCTAAAACTTTTGTAAATAACACAACTCAATAATAATGAGAGAGCGCTGAGTGAAGCAGGTTTCAGTGGATCAGGGGAGACTGCAACGGGGAAATCTGTGGTTCTCATTCTGAGTCATCAGATGTAACCTGCTCTAGAATCTCATTCTACCTGAATGGAAAATGTCTTATACCTCCGTGAGATGTAGATTTTTCTCTCTCCTGAAGGCTCTTTGGTCACACAACTGGCAAAATGTAGTTCAGATTTATTGGGAACTTCCATTCAAATGACCATTTGCTTCAATAGTCATTTCTTCCTTTACTTTTGCTCCTCTCCCACCCCCCTGAGATTTCATGGGGAAAGTTCAGTGCAGCTCTGTCAGCTGGAGAGAATACCCCAGTTCTGGGATACGCTACCAAGGAAACAGGAGTGGTTTTAAATCTCCAGTTGAGATAGTGAACATCTGCACACCCCACACCCTGCAACTAACTGGACATAATCACAGCGTTGTTCAGTTATTTAGGTCAGTATTATCTCAGATAACCCAGGGAGAGAGTTCCACATTAAGTGACTGAACTACACAAAATGTCTATGGATTTGGTTCCCAAAACAGTTGTAATCAGGGCAATACTGGAGGTTACCAGGTACTAGCTGAGATAAATGCCAAGTGACTGAGGTCAGTCAGGGGACAATAAGCAGCATAGTTTTAGCCTAGATGTGTTTTAAAAGGTTGTAAGACGGGCGTTTTATAAAAAGGTTCTTTTTGGGGGGAGACCTGGGGGAAAATCTAGGGACCTCCTTGCTCAAATAACTCCAAATTAGAACCACTAACTATGCCCTGCATGCCCATAGAGAGTAGCAAATGTCAAGACAATCTGAGCACGCATGTGGATTTCAGAGCAGTTAGATCAGTCAATGTCTAAACAGAAAGTCGTGCTGACCCATAAGAGTGTCAGAGCTGGTGCTCTGCTGTAATCACTTCCCAAACGCATGGAGCACGTGGGAGTCAGTTGGGCCCATCCAGTGACAGAGACGATGTGAGGTTCCTATCGGTTCCTTGGCAGAAGGGAGAGCAGAGAGCAGTGGAGGGGATAAATTGATGGGGTGCTGGTGACCCTGCAGTATCACGCAGCAGGTAGGGCTGAGGGCAGTGGGAGGAAAGGAGTGGGTGTTCTAGTGAGTCACAGGGCTAGCTAGATCTCTGTCCCCTTCCCAGTATGTCTGAGTGCCCCACCCTCCAAGGTGTCAGCCTCTTGCCTTTCCATCTCCTGGAGTGGGTTTCTGCCATAGGTTGAGTTGGGGGCGGCGTTGCCCCCCCCGAACTGCAAGCCACAGGCAGGCGGCCTAAGTGTGCAATGTGATGAGTTCTGCAGAGGAGACAGGAGATGTGCTGCTCCCAGCTTGTGCCCCTGAGGCAGGGAGTCAGAATTGTGTTTCTATCAGAGGGATTAGCAGGGGATTAAGATAAGAAAGGGCTGTTAGGATGTTTCCTAAAGTTCAGTGATCTGTTCCAAACTTGGTGAACTGCAAAAGTGAGTAGTTTAAGGCTTTGTCTACACTGGAACTTTGTCTGCAAACCATTTGTTGTTCAGGGGTGTTAACCCCCTCCCCCCCCCCCCCCCGAATGACGAAAGTTTTACCGATGAAAAGACATCGGTGTGAACAGCGCTTTGTTGTCCTGCTGACAGAGTTGCTGCTGCTCGGGGGGGCAGGGTGGTGGTGAAAGTTTTTTGTTGTCAGGAGATGCCGACAAATAGCAGCTACACTGCGCAGTTTTTAGCTAAAAGCTGCGTGGTGTAGACAAAGTCTAAATGATAGAAAGTAATTGTAGATTTTTCTAAAATTTTTCAATTGTTGGATTCAAGAGGTGGTAACAAAGTTACTAATATCTTTCTTTGAGAAGAGAACTGATTTTTTAGACAAAGAAAATGCAGTAGCTCTAATCTGCCATGGATGTCAGTAAGGTATTTGATATGAGAAATTAGTAGTTAAATTGGAGAAGGTGGGAATTAATATGAGAACGGAAAGGTGGATAAGGAACTGGTTAAAGGGGAGACTACAACGGGCCATACTGAAAGGTGAACCGTCAATCTGGAGGGAGGTTACTAATGGAGTTCCTCAGGGATCAGTCTTGGGACCAACCTTATTTAACATTTTTATTTCTGACCTTGGCACAAAAAGTGGGCGTGTGCTAATAAAATTTGCAGATGACACAAAAGTTGGGAGGTATTGCCAACACAGAGGAGAACTGGAATATCATACAAGAAGATCTGGATCACCTTGTAAACTGGAGTAATAGAAATGGGATGATATTTAATATGGCAAAATGCAAGGTCATGTATTTAGGGACTAACAACAAGAATTTTTACTATAAGCTGGGGACATATCAGTTGGAAGTGACAGTGGAGGAGAAAGAGCTGGGTGTATTGGTTATTCACAGGATGACTATGAATCATCAATTTGATGCAGCTGTGAAAAAGGCTAATGCAGTCCTAGGATCTATCAGGCGAGGTATTTCCAGTAGAGACAGGGAAGTGTTAGTACCTTTATACAAGGCAGTGGTGAGACCTCATCTGGAGTACTGTGTGCAATTCTGATCTCTCATATTTAAGGAAGATTAATTCAAACTGGAAGAGGTGCAGAGAAGGGTTACTAGGACGATCTGAGAAATGGAAAACCTACCGTATGAGAGAAGATTCAAAGAGCTTGGCTTGTTTAGTCTAACCAATAGAAGGCTGAGGGGAGATATGATTACTCTGTATAAATACATCAGAGAGGGATAAATACCAGGGAAGGAGAGGAGTTATTTCAGGTAAGCACCAATGTGGACCCCAGGACAAATGGATATAAACTGGCCATCAACAAGTTTAGGCTTGAAATTAAGTGAACGTTTCTAACCATCAGAGGAGTGAAGTTCTGGAGCAGCCTCCCAAGGGGAGCAGTAGGGGCAAAAACCCAAACTGGCTTAAAGACTGAGCTTGATAAATTTATGGAGGGGATGGTATGACAGGACTGCCTATAATGGCGTGTGGCACATCAGCAACTGCCTGTAGCAACAATCCTCAATGGCTGGAGACAGGCTCTGAGTTACTACAGATAATTTTTTCCCAGGTATCTTCCTGGTGGATCTTGCCCACATGCTCAGGGTCTAACTGATCACCATATTAGTGGTCGGGAAGGAATTTTCTCCTGGGTCAGATTGGCAGAGACCATGCGGGGGGTTTCGCTTCCTCTGCAGCATGGGGCATTGGTCACTTGCAGGTTTAAACTAGTGTAAATGATGATTTATCTGTAACTTGCCGTCTTTAAACCACAATTTGAGGAGTTCAGTGACTCAGCCAGAGCTCAGGGGTCTAGTACAGGAGTGGGTGGGGGAGGTTCTGTGGCTGCAGGGGGTCAGACTAGATGATCACGATGGTCCCTTCTGACTTCAGTAAGCGTATCTGAGTAAGAAGCTACATTACAATTTGAAACCCAACCAGTCCCATAAGTGACTTGCCACAAGATGTCAGAACACGTTAGTATTAGAGCTGAGTGGTTCGAATATTTATTTAATTTTCTTTCTTGATATAGGAATTAGATATAATGCTCCTGTCAGAGATTTCTAAGTTATTATCTGCAAAAATACCAGAGTTTTCAGTTACCTAAGTAGCCCCTGGAATTACGGTTAAAGATCTCCCCACCAACCCTCCCAAATATGAAATGGTGCCCCTGTGGGCAGGCACGGATTTTGTCGTCTCTTCCTCCCCGCCTCTCCCCCCTCCCCCCCCCACGCGCGGTCCCGTTGGCCTGAATAGAGCCGCCCCGTAAATACAGAAGTCAAACTACTCCTATGATTTCCACAATTCTCTCTCTCCTTGGCTGGGCCCTGGGCTGCCATACCCTGCATCCAGCCGTGGTTACCCTGCAGGCCAGGCTGAGTGCCGACACCATTGGGACCCTGGGATCAGTGGTGTATAGAGAAACGCTCCTTTGGTGTGCAGAAGGCTGTTTTATTTTTGCAATGAGGAAAAAGGATTTTAAAATAACAAACAGTCTTCACTCCCGTGTGTCCCCCGATGGTCAGCAAGGCAGGTCTAAGGCCTTCAGACACCCCAGTGGGGTCGTCTTGTCTCTTCCCCCAAACAGTTACCAGAACAGCCGTGCCCCTCACAAGAGGGAGTCCCTTTTTTAACTGCGCCAGTCCATTTGATTGTCTGGTCCTATTCATCTAAGCCAGGTCTGTACAATCGCTGGAGCTAGAAGGTAGAATATTCAAAGCTAATCGTTCAGACATTGTCTCTTAACAATCCTTAAGGGTTTACCAAGGTGTGGCTCCTCTTGAGCCAGTCTTCTTCCCTTTCTGCTTCTTTTCCTGCCAGCCCCCTACTGAAGTAAACCAAAGTGTTCATGCCGTAAATATCCCAGTATCCAGGACAACACACCGTTATTACAGAGCCACTCCAGCTCCACCCCAGGGGGCTTGGGGAACTAGGACTAAGGGCTTGTGTACTGTGAATGCTACAGTAGCAGAGCCACAGCGCTGCAGCTGCGCCGTAGTAGCAGATTCTCCCATCACCATAGTCAGTCCACCTCCCAAGTGGTGCTAGCTAGGGGTTGCTGGAAGAATTCTCCCATTGGCCTAGCGCGGTCTGCACTGGGGATGAGGTCAGCTTAATTGTGTCACTCAGGGATTTTTTCACCCCTAAAGAGCGATGGGTCGGCTGAACTTATGAGTGGCCTAAGGGACACCAGGTAAGTGGGGAGGGTGGGGTTAGTGAGCAGGAGGGAGGGGTAGTTTGGGGATCTAGAGCCTGTTGTGAGAGAATCCCTGCCCCGTCCCCATTGGTGGAGAGCCTGCACTTCATTCTGATCAGAGTCCACTTTCAGTTCACATATTTTCAAATATTATGATTCTCATTCTTCTCTCCCCACTGTTCAGGGCCTCCCTCCCCCTCACCCACCCTCTTCCCTACAAACTGTGACCCCAGCCTCTGTTCCTGGGTCCTCACAAGGTGACTCCTTTCTTGGCATTAATGGGCATTTGCTTGGTGACATCATAGGTTGGTAGTGAAACTTCTGGGGACTTGGAGGGTCCTGCTCCCCTGTAGCTATCTGCAGCAGTCTCAGTCTCTCTTCCCTGCAGGCTCCTTGGATCTCTGAGTCTGTCCCTGCTGAGATCCCATGGTCTTATTTTTATTTTTCCAGAGGAATTAGTCTGTTGCTACTGAGTTATAATCGTATCTAAGATACCGGAACATGTTATTACACAATCAGTTTGTAAGCACGTGGAGGATAATTGTGTTATAAGGAATAGTCGGTATGGATTTGTCCAGAACAATTCATGCCAAACCACCCTGATTTCCTACTTTGACAGGGAGATTGGCCTAGGGTATTACAGAGAAGCAGCTGATTTGGTGTATCATCATTTTAGTACATCCGTTGACACAGTCCCACATGCCCTTCTCATAGGGAAATGGGGTCTCGATGAAATTATTATAAAGTGAGTGTACAAAACTGGTTGAAAGATCATACTCCATCTTAATCTGAGGCAAGGGCGATTTAGGTTAGGTATTAGGGAAAAATTTGTAAGAGCAAAGGTAGGTAAGCTCTGGAATACACTTCCAAAAGAGATTGTGGAATCCCCATCATCGGAAGTTTTTTAGAACAGCTTAGTGAGATACCTCTTAGGGATTGTCCAGGTGTACTTGGTCCTGCCTCAGTGCACGGGCTGGATGAAATGATCTTCCAGTCCTACATTTCTGTGGTTCTATCATTCTGTAATTTTCTCCATACACTGGGGGATTTTCGTACTTTTTTCCATTACATCTGACTCGCTATATTCCCTAACTCCTCAGCATATGCTCTTCTGATATCCAACACCCCTGACACACCACATGCAGTGATATCCCCTCTCCTTCCTATTCCCTACTGAGCTGAGCCCCACCAGCCCATTTCCCTGACTGTCTCATTATCCTTGGGTCTCTGTCGGTAGGAAGCAGTTCCAAGGTGATTTCCCCTTGGCTTTCCGTGATGTGGAGTTACTTTCCCTGGCTTTTAGGAGCCCCTTTGAGCAGGAATGTCTGGTCGTGTGTGTGCCAGCAGAGCGGTGGAGAGTTAATCCCCTTATAGACAGAGTGTCTGGCACCTTAGAGCACCAGGAGAGCTAGCTCCAGAATTTCAGTGCTTTAAAATGAGCAGGGGTTAAAAAAAGGCCATGCTCTTTGTGACACGTGTCCCATGAATTCATCTGATGTCACGTGTTTTCCTTCATCTGAGCAGGGTTACCAGTTTCCAAGCCTGAGGTGATGTCCCAGCTGGAACGAGGGGAAGAGCTGTGGGTCTCAGATCTCCAGGGCTCTGAGGAAAGAGAGCTTCTGAGAGGAACCTGCACAGGTGAGGTGTCAGCAACCTATGGCACGCGTGCCAAAGGCAGCACACGAGCTGATTTTCAGTGGCACTCACACTGCCCGGGTCCTGGCCACCGGTCCAGGGGGCTCTGCATTTTAATTTAATTTTAAATAAGCTACTTAAACATTTTAAAAACCTTATTTACTTTGCATACAGCAATAGTTTAGTTATATATTCTAGACTTATAGAAAGAGACCTTCTAAAAACGTTAAAATGTGTTACTGGCACACGAAACCTTAAAATAGAGTGAATAAATGAAGACTCGGCACACCACTTCTGAAAGGTTGCCGACCCCTGCATTAGAGCAACTCCGATACTGTCTGTGCCTGAAGAAAACATCTGGGATTTCCTACCAAGCCCTTGAGAGCTCATTGAGCTCCGGATTGTCCCCAGCAGGTGCCAGCTCCTCAGGGCAGATATCGCTCATGGCTTCCTTCCCATCCTGAGCGACTCCTGGCAATAGCTCCCTTCCTAACCTCCCTTCAGCGTTGGGATGGGATGTGGAGACAGAGTTGATCCCCTCCTCTTTCCTCTCTAGGGAAGAGTTTGGGGAAATTCATTTCCTGATATTTTCTCCCATCTCTCCAGCACTTACCCTTGGTTTCCTCTCCCCTTTTCCATTCCTGTTTCTGAGGTTTCTCTCTGTGTCGCAGGAGATGGCGGGATGGTGAGTGAGAACGGGGAGCAGAATCCGCAGCAAGAAGAGACTGAGCATGTGGAACCGCACTGGGAAGTATCACAAAGAACGAAGGGGGACGTGTCCAGGAGTCCTGAGGAGGGGCAGCAGGGAAACCAGCCAGGGGAGAAAATGGGCAAATCCATCAGTTGTGAGGAAAATCTCAAGGACCTCCAGGAAAATCTCAAGGACCTCCAGGAAACCACAACCCAGCAGAGAATCCTCATGGGAGAGAGGAAACACGTATGCCCTGAGTGTGGGAAAAACTTCAGTAGACGTTCACACCTTATTCACCATGAGCGAATCCACACAGGAGAGAGACCCTATGAATGCTGTGAGTGTGGGAAAAACTTCACTCGGCGCTCAGACCTTATTAGACACCAGAAAACCCACACAGACGAGAGCCCCTATGAATGTTGTGAGTGCGGGAAAAGCTTCATTTACTGCTCAGACCTGAGGAGACATCAGAGGATCCACAGGAGACAGAGACCCTATGAATGCTGTGAGTGCGGGAAAAGCTTCCATCAGGGGTCACACCTTATTTATCGTCCGAGAATCCACCAGGGAGATAAACACCATAAAATCCTTGTCTAGGGCTGGCAAAACATATAATTTTCTTTAATATTTTTGGTACTTCCCACACGTGGCCTTTAAGGCTGTTAGTGCCATTTACATCATTGTGGTCTCAGCTCCCCCATGTGAATTGTCCGGTTCTGCTTTTTGCCGCTAGCCCTTCTTTGGGGGGATCCCCAAAGCCCCTTTCTGCCAGCTGCTTCGTTCTATGGGTCGTGGGAGTGGGAGTCCATCTTACTAGGAATGTGCATCAGCCCCAGTGGGGGGAACACGAATGACCTCAGTTAGCTGCATTGTGGTGAAATCTACCTGGGCCTTGGCTCCATTAGCATTTTTTGCAGTTAGCCAGCTCGAGGGAACTATCCGGATGGAAAATCCCAACTCTGTTTTCTGTACTGACATGGCCCAAGTACAATAGTCTGTGGATTTCAGAGCAGTTAGATTAGTCATCTTTTACACGGAAAGTTGTGCTGACCCATAATAGTGTCAGAACTGGTGGTCAGCTGTAATCACTTCCCAAACACATGGAGCGTGTGGGAGTCAACTGGGCCCATCCATTGAGAGAAGACGGTGTGAGGTTGCTATTCTTAGGCTAAGTGGGAGCAGTGGAGGGATAAATTGATGGGGTGCTGGTGACCCTGCAGGACCACTCAGCAGGGAGGGCTGAGAGCAGTGGGAGGAAGGGGCGTGAGTGTCCTAGTGAGTGACAGGACTAGCTATATCTCTGTCCCCTTCCCAGTTTGCCTGAGACCTCTCTTCCCCCCCCTCTCTCCCAGGTGTCAGCCTCATGCCTTTCCATCTCCTGGAGTGGATTTCGGCAATTCTCCCTCTCCCTGACCGGGCCCTGGGTTACATACCCTGTGTACCAGCTGTGCTTATCCCGCAGGCCAGGCTGAGTGCCAACACCATTGGGAGCCTGGGATCAGTGCTGTATAGAGACAAACGCTCCTTTGGTGTGCAGAAGGCTGTTTTACTTTTGCAATGGGGAAAAAGGATTTTAAAATAACAGCAACAGTCTTCACTCCCGTGTGTCCCCCAATGGTCAACAAGGCCGGTCTAAGGCCTTCAGACACCTCAGTGGGGTCGTCTTGTCTCTTCCCCCAAACAGTCACCAGAACAGCCCTGCCCCTCACAAGAGGGAGTCCCTTTTTTAACTGCGCCAGTCCATTTGATTTTCTGGTCCTGTTCGTCTAAGCCAGGTTTGTACAATCGCTGGAGCTAGGAGGTAGAATACTCAAAGCTAATCATTCAGACATTGTCTCTTAACAATCCTTAAGGGTTTACCAAGGTGTGGCTCCTCTTGAGCCAGTCGTCTTCCCTTTCTGCTTCTTTTCCTGCCAGCCCCCTACTGAAGTAAACCAAAGTGTTCATGCCGTAAATATCCCAGTATCCAGGACAACACACAACACACCGTTATTACAGAGCCACTCCAGCTCCACCCCAGGGGGCTTGGGGAACTAGGACTAAGGGCTTGTGTACTGTGAATGCTACAGTAGCAGAGCCACAGCGCTGCAGCTGCGCCGTAGTAGCAGATTCTCCCATCACCGTAGTCAATCCACCTCCCCCAGTGGTGCTAGCTAGGGGTTGCTGGAAGAATTCTCCCATTGGCCTAGCGCGGTCTGCACTGGGGGTTAGGTCAGCTTAATTGTGTCACTCAGGGATTTTGTCACCCCTAAAGAGTGATGGGTCGGCTGAACTTATGAGTGGCCTAAGGGACACCAGGTAAGTGGGGAGGGTGGGGTTAGTGAGCGGGAGGGAGGGGTGGTTTGGGGATCTAGAGCCTGTTGTGAGAGAATCCCTGCCCCGTCCCCATTGGTGGAGAGCCTGCACTCCATTCTGATCAGAGTCCACTTTCAGTTCACATATTTTCAAATATTATGATTCTCATTCTTCTCTCTCCGCTGTTCAGGGCCTCCCTCCCTCTCACCCACCCTCTTCCCTACAAACTGTGACCCCAGCCTCTGTTCCTGGGTCCTCACAAGGTGACTCCTTCCCTGGCATTAATGGGCATTTGCTTGGTGACATCATAGGTTGGTAGTGAAACTTCTGGGGACTTGGAGGGTCCTGCTCCCCCCTCCCTATCTGCAGCAGCCTCAGTCTCTCTTCCCTGCTGGCTCCTAGGATCTCTGAGTTGGTCCCTGTTGAGATCCCATGGTCTTATTCTTACTTTTCCAGAGGAATTAGTCTGTTGCTACTGAGTTATAATCATATCTATTCCCCAACCTCATCCTAGATACTTAAGGAACTAGTTGAGGCAATCTCAGCACTATTAGGAAGTATTGTTGAGAACTCATGGAGGACAGGTTGGGTCCCAGAGGACTGCTGAAGGGCAAACATTGTTCCCCTTGTTCAAGATCGGTACTAAGGAGACCTGGGGAGTTATAGACCAGTCAGCCTAACTTGTATACCTGGGAAGATACTGGAACATGTCATTACACAATCCGTTTGTAAGCACCTGGAGGATAATTGCATTATAAGGAATAGTCAGTATGGATTTGTCCAGAACAAATGCCAAACCACCCTGATTTCCTACTTTGACAGGGAGATTGACCTATGGCAGCGTTAGTCCATAGGTGGACCACAGGCCAAATCCGGACCACCAGACACTTTTTAATGGACCCCGAAATCTTTTAATTTTCTTATTCCTAGGGCTGTCAAGTGATTAAAAAAATTAATCACCATTAATCATGCAATAAAAAAATTAATCGCGGTTAATCGCACTGTAAAACAATAATAGAATACCATTTATTTAAATGTTTTTGGATGATTTCAATATTTTCAAATATATTGATTTCAATTACAACACAGAATACAAAGTGTACAGTGCTTACTTTATATTTTTGATTACAATTATTTGCACTGTAAAAAAGAAATATTGTCGTGCAATCTCTTTACAATGAAAGTTAAACTTACAAATGTAGAATTATGTACAAAAAAACCCCACCTGCACTCAAAAATAAAACAATATAAAACTTTAGAGCCAACAAGTCCACTCAGTCCTCCCACTTGCTCAGCCAATCACTAAGAGAAACAAGTTTGTTTACATTTACAGGAGATAATGCTGACCACTTCTTATTTACAATGTCACCTGCAAGGGAGAACAGGCATTTGCATGGCACTGTTGTAGCCGATGTCACATGGTATTTACGTTGCAGATGCACTAAAGATTCATAGGTCCCTTTATGCTTCGACCACCATTCCAGAGGACGTGTCCATGCTGATGATGGGTTCTGCTCGAAAGAAGTAGGACTGAATGGATGTGTAAGCTCTAAAATTTTAAATTGTTTTGTTTTTGAATACAGTTATATGACCAAAAAACCCTACATTTGTAAGTGGCACTCTTATGATAAAGAGATTGCACTACAGTACTTGTATGAGGTGAATTGAAAAATACTATTTATTTTATTTATCATCTTTACAGTGCAAATATTTATAATGAAAATAACAAGTGTGCGCTTTGTATTCTGTGTTGTAATTGAAATCAATATATTTGAAAATTAGAAAAAATCCCAAATTATTTTAAAATTTTCAATTAGTATTCTATTGTTTAACAGTGTGATTAAAACTGCAATTATTAGCGATTAATTTTTTTAATCGCGATAAATTTTTTTAGTTAATCGTGAGTTAACTGCAATTAATCGACACCCCTACTTATTATCTTTTTTTTTAATTGTTTTCTTTCAAGTCTGGACCTTGACTATCCCTTGACCAAGATATTTGGACCTTGACAAAAAATAATTAACTACCCCTGGCTTAAGGTATTACAGAGAACTTGCAGCTTTGTAATATCTTCATGTTAGTACGTCCTTTGACTTGGTCCCACGTGCCATTCTCATAGGGAAACTAAGGAAATGGGATCTAGATGAAATTATTATAAAATGGGCGCAAAACTGGTTGAAAGATCATACTCAATCTGTGGCAAGGGTGATTTAGGTTAGATATTAGGGAAAAACTTGTAACTCAAGGGTAGTTAAGCTCTGGAATAGGATTCCAAGGCACGCTGTGGAATCCCCATCATTGGAAGTTTTTAAGAACAGCTTAGACAAATACCTATCAGGGACGGGGTCTAGGTGTACTTGGTCTGACCTCATTGCATGGGCTGGATTAAAGGACCTCTTGAAATCCCTTCCATCCCTACATTTCTGTGGCTCTGTCACTCTATAACCATCTCCGTACACTGGGGGATTTTCGTACTCCTTTCCATTACACCTGACTCGCTATATTCCCTAACTCCTCAGCATGTGCTCTCCTGATATCCAACACCCCTGACACACCACATGCAGTGATATCCCCTCTCCTTCCTTACTGTGCTGAACCCCATCAGCCCATTTCCCTGACTGTCTCATTATCCTTGGGTCTCTGTCGGTAGGAAGCAGTTCCAAGGTGATTTCCCCTTGGCTTTCCGTGATGTGGAGTTACTTTCCTTGGGTTTTGGGAGCCCCTTTGAGCAGGAGTGTCTGGTCGTGTGTGTGCCAGCAGAGCGGTTAATCCCCTTATAGGCAGAGTGTCTGGCATCTTAGAGCACCTGGAGAGCTAGCCACAGAATTTTGGTGCTTTAAAACAAGCATTAATGAAAAAAAGGCCATGTTCTTTGTGACCCATGTCCCATGAATTCATCTAATGTCACGTGTTTTCCTTCATCTGAGCAGGGTTACCAGTTTCCAAGCCTGAGGTGATGTCCCAGCTGGAACGAGGGGAAGAGCTGTGGGTCTCAGATCTCCAGGGCTCTGAGGAAAGAGAGATCCTGAGAGGAACCTGTCCTGGTGAGGAGTCATCAGAGCAACTCGGATACTGTCTGTGCCTGAAGAAAACATCTGGGATTCCCTACAAAGCCCTTGAGAGTAGTTTGAGTTCTGGATTGTTCCCTAGCAGGTGTCATGTCCTCAGGGCAGATATCGCTTATGGCTTCCTTCCCATCCTGAGCGATTCGTGGCAATAGCTCCCTTCCTAACCTCTCTTCATCCTGAGCGATGGGATGGGATGTGGAGACAGAGTTGATCCCCTCCTCTCTCCCTTTTGGGGAAGAGCTTGGAGGAATTCATTTCCTGATATTTCCCCAACTCTCCAGTACTTACTCTGGTTTCCTCTCCCCTTTTAGTTCAGGTTCTGTTACCTACACACTCTAAAGTATCCCACCTTTACCCTTCCATGGGTCAGGGCGTAACCTGGTTAATTTAAGTATCCTCACCCAGGGCATAATCTTCTGCAGGTTTGTGGGGTCTTTTACTAGTGAAAGAGCCTTACACAGTAATATCCTTAACTTCTATTTATTAACAGTTACCTAAGCAGAACACACACACTAAGCATACAGTGCTCACCACTCCCCATAATCAGACAAACTTTTCTTGGTGGCCAGCCAGGATCAGGTTGTCTGGGGCCTCTCCAGCTTCTGCACGGTGTAGTTGACAGGGGGTTGAGGTCTGGCAGCTCTGATCGTGGGCTGTGCCATGGAGCTGGTTCTGAAGAAATTCCTTTTGGACCACAGTTGTTATAGTGAAATTTGAGTCCTGCTTAGCTCTACCGTCACCAGCCGTTGTAAATGAAAGTCCTACAAAGCAGTATTTTTCACCCATCCCAGCCCATTCTGAAACCACTCTTTAGCCAATCAGACCCCACCACCTGAGCTTATTTAAATCTTGCAAAGTTAGTTATGCAACAGGCAGAAATGATCAAAGAACCAGACAGAGACCAGACAGAAACAATAGAGAAGTAGGGACCATGAAGGCAAAACAATAAAGTAGTATAGATTTCACAACCACATCTCTTAGGTGATTCCTTTCCAGGCAGAATGCTGTCAAAGTTCTCTTTAAATTTCTTTTTCTGGTGATGGTGCTATTACGACAGGAACCTCCTTAACAGCCCGATATTGCACTGTTCTGATATAATTTAGAGGGAATTTGAGGATGTGACATCCTGCTTTTTAGCTTCTGGCTGAAGCTTCCACAGAAAAAGGTCTCAGACCTTACAGTTTCTCTCTGTGTCGCAGGAGATGGCGGGATGGTGAGTGAGAACGGGGAGCAGAATCCGCAGCAAGAAGAGACTGAGCATGTGGAACCGCACTGGGAAGTATCACAAAGGACGAAGGGGGACGTGTCCAGGAGTCCTGAGGAGGGGCAGCAGGGAAACCAGCCAGGGGAGAAAATGGGCAAATCCATCAATTGCGAGGAAAATCTCAAGGACCTCCAGGAAACCACAGCCCAGCAGAGAATCCTCATGGGAAAGAGGAAACACATATGCCGTGAGTGTGGGAAAAACTTCAGTAAACACTCATACCTTATTCACCATGAGCGAATCCACACAGGAGAGAGACCCTATGAATGCTGTGAGTGTGGGAAAAACTTCACTCGGCGCTCAGACCTTATTAGACACCAGAAAACCCACACATGCGAAAGCCCCTATGAATGCTGTGAGTGCGGGAAAAGCTTCATTTACTGCTCAGACCTGAGGAGACATCAGAAGATCCACAGGAGACAGAGACCCTATGAATGCTGTGAGTGCGGGAAAAGCTTCCACCAGGGGTCACACCTTATTTATCATCAGAGAATCCACCAGGGAGATAAACACCATAAAATCCTTGTCTAGGGCTGGCAAAACATATAATTTTCTTTAATATTAATGGTAATTCCCACATGTGGCCTTTAAGGCTGTTAGTGCCATTTACTTCATTGTGATCTCGGCTTCCGCAGGTGAGTTGTGCAGTTCTGCTTTTTGTAGCTAATCCCTCTTCTTCAATACCTGGAATGAGACTGGAACATACTGTTAAACATTCTCTGTAAACACCTGGAAGATAAAAGCTTTATAAGAATAGTCAGTATGGATTTGTCCAGAACAAATCATGCCAAACCAACCCGATATCCTACTTTGACAAGGAGATTGGCCTAGAGTATTACAGAGAAGCAGTAGATTTCCTGTATCTTAATTTTAGTACATCCTTTGACACAGTCCCACATGCCCTTCTCATAGGGAAATGGGGTCTCGATGAAATTATTATAAAGTGAGCGTACAAAACTGGTTGAAAGATCATACTCCATCTGCAGCAAGGGCGATTTAGGTTAGGTATTAGGGAAAAACTTGTAAGTGCAAGGGTAGTTAAGCTCTGGAATACACTTCCAAAGGACGTTGTGGAATCCCCATCATCGGAAATTTTTAAGAACAGCTTAGACAAAAACCTCTCAGGGATTGTCCAGGTGTACTTGGTCCTGCCTCAGTGCACGGGCTGGATGAAATGATCTTCCAGTCCTACATTTCTGTGGTTCTATCGTTCTGTAATTTTCTCCATACACTGGGGGATTTTCGTACTTTTTTCCATTACACCTGACTCGCTATATTCCCTAACTCCTCAGCATGTGCTCTCCTGATATCCAACACCCCTGACACACCACATGCAGTGATATCCCCTCTCCTTCCTATTCCCTACTGAGCTGAGCCCCACCAGCCCATTTCCCTGACTGTCTCATTATCCTGGGTCTCTGTCGGTAGGAAGCAGTTCCAAGGTGATTTCCCCTTGGCTTTCCGTGATGTGGAGTTACTTTTCCATGGGTTTTAGGAATCCCTTTGAGCAGGAGTGTCTGGTCTTGTGTGTGCCAGCAGAGCGGTTAATCCCCTTATAGGCAGAGTGTCTGGCATCTTAGAGCACCAGGAGAGCTAGCCACAGGATTTTGGTGCTTTAAAACGACCATTACTTTAAAAAAGATCATGTTCTTTGTGACAAATGTCCCATTAATTCACCTGATTTTCTTTGATTCTTTCCTCTGAGCAGGGTTACCAGTTTCCAAGCCTGAGGTGATGTCCCAGCTGGAACGAGGGGAAGAGCTGTGGGTCTCAGATCTCCAGGGCTCTGAGGAAAGAGAGCTTCTGAGAAGAACCTTCCCAGGTGAGGAGTCATTAGTCCAACAATTAAAATACTGTCTGTGTCTGAAGAAAACATCTAGGATTCCCTGCCAAGCCCTTGAGAGCTCACTGAGCTCTGGATTGTCCCCAGCAGGTGTCAGCTCCTCAGGCAGATATTGGTCCTTCCTTCCCATCCTGAGCGACTCCTGGCAATAGTTCCCTTCCTAACCTCCCTTCAGCGTTGGGATGGGATGTGGAGACAGAGTTGATCCCCTACTGTCTCTCCGCTCTGAGGAAGAGTTAGCGGGATTTCATTTTCTGATATTTTCCCCCACCTCTCCAGCACTTGCCCTTGGTTTCCTCTCCCCTTTTCCATTCCTGCTTCTGAGGTTTCTCTCTGTGTTGCAGGAGATGGTGGGATGGTGAGTAAGAACGGGGAGCAGAATCCGCAGCAGGAAGAGACTGAGCATGTGGAACCGCACTGGGAAGTATCACAAAGGACGAAGGGGGACGTGTCCAGGAGTCATGAGGAGAGGCAGCAGGGAAACCAGCCAGGGGAGAAAATGGGCAAATCCATCAATTGTGAGGAAAATCTCAAGGACCTCCAGGAAACCGCAGCCCAGCAGAGAATCCTCATGGGAAAGAGGAAACACATATGCCCTGAGTGTGGGAAAAACTTCAGAAGTCGCTCACACCTTATTAACCATGAGCGAATCCACACAGGAGAGAGACCCTATGAATGCTGTGAGTGTGGGAAAAACTTCATTCGACGCTCACACCTTATTAGACACCAGAGGATCCACACCGGTGAGCGACCCTATGAATGTTGTGAGTGCGAAAAAACCTTCATTTACCGCTCAGACCTGAGGAGACATCAGAGGATCCATACAGGACAGAGACCCTATGAATGCTGTGAGTGCGGGAAAAGCTTCCATCAGGGGTCACACCTTATTTATCATCAGAGAATCCACCAGGGAAATAAACACCATAAAATCCTTGTCTAGGGCTGGCAAAACATATATTTTTTTCTTTAATTTTTTTGGGTACTTCCCACACGTGGCCTTTAAGGTTGTTAGTGCCATTTACATCATTGTGGTCTCAGCTCCCCCAGGTGAATTGTCCGGTTCTGCTTTTTGCCGCTAGCCCTTCTTTGGGGGGATCCCCAAAGCCCCTTTCTGCCAGCTGCTTCGTTCTATGAGTCGTGGGAGTGTGAGTCCATCTTACTAGGAATGTGCATCAGCCCCAGGTGGGGGGAACACGAATGACCTCAGTTAGCTGCATTGTGGTAAAATCTACCTGGGCCTTGGCTCCATTAGCATTTTTTGCAGTTAGCCAGCTCGAGGGAACTATCCGGATGGAAAATCACAACTCTGTTTTCTGTACTGACATGGCCCAAGTACAATAGTCTGGGTAGCTAGCACTTTTTCCCTCGACTTGTCCTAACCTCCTCCACTTTTCCTAGTCTAGACAAACCATTATCATGATGCTAAAACTTTTGTAAATAACACAACTCAATAATAATGAGAGAGCGCTGAGTGAAGCAGGTTTCAATGGATCAGAGGAGAATGCAGTGGGAAAATCTGTGGTTCTCATTCTGAGTCATCAGATGTAACCTGCTGTAGAATCTCATTCCATCTGAAACTGAAAATGTTTTATACCTCTGTGAGCAGGGTCGGATTTCCAACTAGGCACAGCGGGCAGGTTGCCAAGTATGCAATTTTCTAGCCCAATGGGTGATTTTTAGCTGTCAGTTGCCAGGGATTTTAGCAGTTGCAAGTTGCAGTATTTTGGGCTGTTTTGGTGCCCTGCTGCCACTGGCCACACTGCTCAGGAGGGAGGAGCCTCCTGATCTGTCCCGTCCCTTGCCGAGATGCCCCACACTCCGCTTGTCTCACGTCGTGCCCCCCCCCTTCGGTGACATTTGCAGCATGTGTAGAATTCTTGTCCGAGGGAGGCAGAATTTTTTTTTCTGCAAAAATATGCTGCAGTTCTGTCTTTTGCCCACCAGAGGCCACTGTGGTACCGGAACAGCCTGAGCTGGCTGAGGCTCACTGGTCCGGCGGGCAGCGGCTGGCAGGCGGGTGGCGGGGGCATTTCTTCCTCAAGTGAAAAGTTGCAGCAGCCGCCTTGGAGCCAGGTCAGGCGGCAGAGCAGGCCACACAGCGCTGCTGGGCGGGGGAGGGCACAGGGCCACATGGGGAGGCAGGGGGGCCGCTGAAGATGCTGTGCCTAGGAGCACATAAGGTGTAAATCCGGCCCTGATTCTTCTCTCTTTCCTGAAGGCTGTTTGGTCCCACAACTGGATGTTACTTTTCTGTGGCAGAATGTAGTTCAGATTTATTGGGCACTTGGAGGCAAATGACCAGTTGCTTCAATAGTCATTTCTTCCTTTACTTTTCCTTTTCCTCCACCCCTCCATGATGACATGGGGGAAAGTTCAAACGCAGCTCTGTCAGCTGGAGAGAATGCCCCAGTTCTGGGATACGCTACCAAGGAAACAGGAGTGGTTTTAAATCTGCAGTGGTAAGCAACAGCACACCCCAAACTCTGCAACTAACTGAAGTAACTAGGTATAATCGCAGTGTTGGTCAATTATTTAAGTCAGTATTCGCTCCGATAACGCAGGGAGAGCGCGTCACAGGAAGTGATTTGGAACTCGGCAAAATGCCCATGTATTTAGTTCCCAACACAGTTGTGACCCAGCTCCTACAGGAAGTTACTCCTGGAGATATCTCCTAGCTAATCCTAAATACTGCCGTTAGCTATGCAGATGTGGGGGAAACAGAGTTAGTGTTTATGTTGAATTCACCCTTTGTAATGCTGCAAATGTGTATAAAATAAAATCAATGTTCAATGTGAGACTGCTGAAGAAAAATAACTTTTTTTTTAAACTGAAACCAACCTCTTGTACCATCCAGTGATTCTCACCAGGCTATATCTGATTTCTGATTTAGACCTGTGCTATCAGATTAAAGAAGTAACCTTGGCATGTTTGAGGAAGTCATTCCTCACTAGCACAGCTGACATTCTGGGTGGGCTGGTAAAGGATTCTTCTCCAGAGAAATGTAAATTTGTCCTCCTCAAGACCAAGGATTTGGCAAGAACTCAGAAACCACAGGCATCTAATTGCTGGTTTTCAGCACAGAGATGAAAGCTATGGTGAGTTACGGTCTAAGCAGAAATGTGTTTAGAACACAACTCCCTAGTTCTGTGGCATTGATTAGAGTCCCAACAGATGCCAGTTCAATTGAGAACAATTGTCTTTTACCGTTTGAATCCAAAGTTTCATGAGGCAAAGAAAAAGAGTTGATGCCTTCGGAGGACATTCCTTCCTCAGAAGGATCCCAATCTGGCTTCCTTGTTGGACAATAAGCACTTTCCTTCTGTGCAAGTGTTGGTAACCCATGAGGAAATGAGTGGGTCAAGCTCCAAGTTCAGACTGCAGGATCTATGAATGTTGAGTCCTGATTTTATGCTTTGATCTCTTGGTTTTGGTCTTGTGTTTTATGACTTTGTATCGCATCTCCATCTCCTGCTACTTTGAAAGATTAAAAAGTGTGAAAATAGAATAGAAGGTTTTTCTCATGTTGCAAACCTTGCCACACAGTGTGAGACCCCTTCCACCAACGCTTATGGCAGAAGAGCCGTAAATAAACTAACTTCCAGAAATGGAAGGCACCTATATAAAAATACTGCTCAGGCATGCAGGAGTGAAATCAGGAAGGCCAAATCACACTTGGAGTTGCAGCTAGCAAGAGATGTTAAGAGTAACAAGAAGGATTTCTTCATTTATGTTAGCAACAAGAAGAAAGTCAAGGAAAGTGTTGGCCCCTTACTGAATGAGGGAGACAACCTAGTGACAGAGGATGTGGAAAAAGCTAATGTACTCAATGCTTTTTTTTGCCTCTGTCTTCTCGAATAAGGTCAGCTCCCAGACTACAGCACTGGGCAGCACAGCATGGGGAGGAGGTGACCTTCCCTCTGTGGAGAAAGAAGTGGTTTGGGACTATTTAGAAAAGCTGGACGAGCATGAGTCCATGGGGCCAGATGCACTACATCCGAGAGTGCTAAAGGAGTTGGCGGATGTGATTGCAGAGCCGTTGGCCATTATCTTTGAAAACTCATGGCAATTGGGGGAGCTCCTGGATGACTGGAAAAGGTTAATGTAGTGCCCATCTTTAAAAAAGAGAAGAATGAGTATCCAGGGAACTACAGGCCAGTTAGCCTCACCTCAGTCCCTGGAATAATCTTGGAGCAGGTCCTCAAGGAATCACGGCATTTTGGGCTGTGTAAGTAGGGGCATTGCCAGCAGATCGAGGGATGTGATCATTCCCCTCTATTCAACATTGGTGAGGCTTCATCTGGAGTACTGTGTCCAGTTTGGGGCCCCACACTACAAGAAGGATTGGAAAAATTGGAAAGAGTCCAGCAGAGGGCAACAAAAATGGGAGCACATGACTTAGGAGAGGCTGAGGGAACTGGGATTGTTTAGTCTGCAGAAGAGAAGAATGAGGGGGGATTTGATAGCTGCTTTCAACTACCTGAAAGGGGGGTCAAAGGAGGATGGATTTAGACTGTTTTCAGTGGTAGCAGATGACAGAACAAGGAGTAATGGTCTCAAGATGCAGTGGGGGAGCTCTACGTTGGATATTAGGAAAAACTTTTTCACTAGGAGGGTGGTGAAGCACTGGAATGAATTACCTAGGAAGGTGGTGGAATCTCCTTCCTTAGAAGTTTTTGAGGTCAGGCTTGACAAAGTCCTGGCTGGGATGAATTAGTTGGGGATTGGTCCTGCTTTAAGCAGGGGGTTGGACTAAATGACCTCCTGCGGTCCTTCCTATCCCTGATATTCTATGATTCTATATGGGTGTAAACCACAACTTTACAGAAGGGTTCACTTTGTGGAAATTGGTGTTAAATTGGAATTAAAAGAAAGTAATATATAAGATTTTTGTTACCCGTGAGAATGAAATTAAACATGAGGTTAATTATTTGTTAATGAAGAAGGAAGAGACTAATTATGTGATGACTTTCAACTTTCCAATATAATTCTGATTTATATTGTTTTCTTTTTATTGGTAATATAGGAAATGGTGGCTAATCCTTAAAGGGTTGTTTGATGTATTTTACTCCTTTCTGACTAAGGAATTCTGAAATATAACTTTACTCCAAAGGTTGCGGTGATGGAATATGTGAGAGAAATGAGGTATCTGAGAATACTGATCAGTATAGACATGAATTATTTCCAAATGGAATTTATTCTGTTAAGAGGAAAACTACTCAAGAAGACGAGTTGTATATCCTTTTACCGGTTAGACTGTAAAGGTCACTTAGTTCCCCACTTCCCTTGTTAGCAAAGGAAAGTCATGACTTTTGTGATGAGATGTCCATATTTATTTATAAGAAAGATGATGGATGCATTTTTTTGCTAAAAACTTCTGCAACCAGTTATTTTTATGGGAATCTGACCCCTTTTCCTTTTGAGAAGGCCACCCATTAAATTCTGGCCATTGTCTCCTTAGGCCAGGCTATGGAGACCTCCTCAAAACTGGCCTTGCTTTTCTTTCATTTGTAACTTTGGAATCCACACTGAATGTGATTTTCAAGAATGGCTATTTTAAGAAAACTGCTGGATTAAGGGAGAATTATCCAAAATGGTGTTAGCCCAAAGTGTGCCTCATTCCAACTGGATTGGGTCATGGTGCCGGTATCCAAGGCATACTTCACCCCCGAGATCTCACCATAAAATGGAGTAAGCTGGAATTGTCAGCCATAAAGACCAAGGTAAAGGCTGAAGTCTTTCACCTTTCAGGTCAACAAGCTGTCTAAGAAAGATCGATCTCCTCTGGGGAAGGAAGTCATGTCATCAGTGACAGGCTCGGTCAGCCTTTTCCATCTCCCTATATCTGAGAAAACCTGCTGGTGTGGAGTGCTGGGCCAGCTACCCAATCACTTTGTTTCTCAACTACAGTTACTGCCTCTACTGTATGTGAGTCCAAACACTGAGAGAACTGGAGAGTTCCAACCCTTTGTCATTTTAGGTTCCTTTTTCTACTTCATTTTTATTAACTGGGAGATGTCCTGGCTTTTCTATTACGTTAGGGCAGTGGTTCTCAACTAGGGGTACACATACCCTGGGGGTACGCAGAGGTCTTCCAGGGGGTACATCAACTCATCTAGAGTTTTACCTCAGGCTACATAAAAAGCACCAGCGAAGTCAGTACAAACTAAAATTTCATACAGAGGCAACTTGTTTATACTGCTCTAGATACTGTATACTGAAATGTAAATACAATATTTATACTCCAACTGGTTTATTTTATAATTATATGGTAAAAATGAGAAAGCAAGACATTTTTCAGTAATAGTGTGCTGGGACACATTTGTATTTTTGTCTGATTTTGTAAGCCAGTAGTTTTTAAGTGAGGTGAATCTCGGGAGTACACAAGACAAATCAGACCCCTGAAAGGGGTACAGTGGTCTGGAAAGGTTGAGAGCCCCTGTATTAGGATGTGGCTCAGTGTAAAATCCACACAGGGAAGGCACCAGCTTGAATAGTTCTCCAAATCCAAATAGCCCTTAAACTCTGCCCTCTGAAATGATTGAACGTGCACTCCTCATTCTGTGAAAGTCTGAAGAAACTAAACTCAGCTGTAAACTATTCAGTGAGAGCTGTTAATAAGCAGAAGTTTAAAGTCCCAGTAGAGTCTGGATCTCGGTTGGAGGGGGAGGCAGAAGGGTTTAGCCAATAGGGAGATGGAAGGAAGAAGCTTTAATTGGCTGTGAGGTTGTAGCTTAAACATGAACGATCATTTGTTTTTTAGTATTCAGTTGCTTCAGTGTGAAGTTCTCTGATTGGGGCTTATAATTAAATGAACGGCTGCCTCTCTGAATTTATTGTTTTAGGATTTATAAGGGTTGATTTTCTGTTGTTTTAATATGATGACTTGATTCCAGTCTAATATCATTGCTAACTCATTGACTCACTGATGTGATCTTATTTAATTGTCTATTGGTTGACTACACAGTTGAGAAGGGAGGTGAGGAAATATGTTTTATTGGACTAACTTCTGTTGGTGCAAGACACAAGCTTTTGAGCTACTCACAGACACACTTTGAGGCCAGAAGAGACCAACCTGATTATCTCGTCTGACCTCCTGCACATTGCAGGCCACAGCACCTCTCCCACCCACTCCTGCAATAAGCCCATAACCTCCGGCTGAGTCACTGAAGTCCTCAAGTCCTGATTTAAAGACTTCAAGTTAGAGAGAATCCATCATTTGCAAACTGCAAGTGACCCGTGCCTCATGCTGCAAAGGAAGATGAAAACTCCCAGGGTCTTTGCCAAAGTGACCTGGGGAAAAATTCTTTCCTGACCCCAAATATGATGATCAGTTCAACCCTGAGCCTTTGGGCGAGACCCACCAGCCAGACACCTGGGAAAGAATTTGTGGTGGTAACTCAGAGCCATGGGCGGCATGTCGCATAGGCTGGGGAAGGCTGCGCCTGGGCCCACCCACACTCCTCCCCTTCCCCCTTGGGCCCAGCCCAGGCGTTGCTGCTCCTCTTCAGGGAAGCAGCATGCTAGGACTGGGGCTAGGGAGGCCGGGACTTGGGGTGGTTCACCCGCCGCCCATGCTCAGAGCCCTCCCCATCTAATGTCCCATTTCTTACCATTTCGATATTTGCTACTAGGAGTTGCAGATGGGCTACATGCCATTTCCTCTAGAAATTTATCAAGGTAATTCTTGAAACCAGTTAGGTGTTTAGCCCCCGTGGCTCCTCTTGGGAGGCTGTTCCAGAACTTCACTCCGCTGACACTTAGAAACCTTCATCTAATTTCAAGCCTAAACTTGTTG